TCAATAGTCTTTGTATAGAGGTTTGAGGCGTCAATGCCGGTGCCATACCAGGGGTACGACATGACATCGACTCGGGTGTCGTTGAATTGTGCGAAACACAGTTTGGATCCGTCGGGTGCCCACCAAAGGGCACTACTCGACGCCAACACCTCCTCCTCGTACACCCAATCGGGAATACCATTGTATATATCGTCGCCAATACTATTGACGATGACTTTAGGGTCGGCCTCGAGAGCGCTTTCCTGATAATAGATCGTGTTTTTGGCGATGAATACGATTTGAGAGCTGTTTTCCTTTGGACCCCAACCGGCAAACTGTAGCTCTGTTTGGCTCTTATCGTTGGGTGCAGTGAGAGGTACTGTCTCTCTGTTGTGTCATTCATTTCCATCAGGATAATTGTTTTTCAGTCAAAATATAAGACAATTTTGTTAATCATTTAAAAATTTCATGTCAACTTAAGATCCGAAATAAAGTTTAATTTTTTGTTATGTTTTCTCGTTATGTAAGCACTAAAAGACTACTCACTCGGTGGCGATGTTATAAATGAGATGTTTGGCGATATATGTGTGTCTAAAGAGCTATAAAATAATGAGATAAGAAAATATTGTACGAATAGTTTCGGTGAGAGAGAGAGAGAGTGAGTGAGAGAGAGAGAGAGAGAGAGAGTCATAAAATTCTTGTTCTCAATTCCCACTACACAATAGTAGTGAACTACTAGTGTCGGGCGAGTACTTACTTTTTTCATGTCGTAAACTAATAACAAAAATTTGCGATCAGAAGACAGCGAGTATTTTTGAACTATATTTTGTCTCTGGATATTATGATAGCGGAGACCATAAACATAAAACATGAAAAAAAAATATTTTTTATTGTAATGGTATAAATAATGAAATACTTTTCTGTTATCGCAAACAAGTAAAAAGTGTTATTTTACTCACAAAAACTTGATTGTGTACTAATGGTTGCGGATTGAGTGGTAAGGTATTCAAGTCGAGTATCACTAAATCCCCCGAAACGTCGCGATACATGAGCTCGTGATCGCTGATCCAGGTGCCGTTGAAAGCACTCGGACTGAACACCCCCTGCAATACCTGATCCAGTTGTAACTTCTCTCTGTTAGTCTTTTGGCTGAATTTAGCTTTAAGTTTAAGAAAACAACGAAATAGTTATTTTTGGCAATCATTAGTTATTTGTATTGTTGTGTTTTTTGGGCACAATTCTTGACAATTACTTTGTATGTCTGGGTTTATGAGTACAACGGATGATGCGATGGCACCGCATATGGCGAGGATTACCATCACAGCGATTGTCACTCCCTTCCAGTTATTGCTACTGATGTCCACAACCGGTAACTCCTAATAATCGAGATTATAATTAGGCGTCAGTTGAATCAGTCGTTTTGTTTGAGTAACGAAAGAGTGAAACGTGTTTTACAAATGTATTAATGAATTTGTTTGAAAACTTTGAGAGCAAAGAATTGCAACAAAATTGCAACAAAAAAGCAGAATTTTAATTAAAAATTTCAATGACTTATTGTTTTATTTAACGCCATTCCCCTAAAAATAGTGATTCAATTTTGCTCTTTTATTTACATTTACCGTTAACTCACATCTAATGAAACATTTTCTACAGAATAAGAGTACAGAATAAAGTGATTTTCTCTTTGTGTGCAAAGTATTGGCAAATGACTTCTCTAATATAAGTATAGTATTGATATTTAGAGAAACTTTTTTGCCATTTTTACTTTGGCTGTCAATTAAGAGATCATAATAACCGATCAAAAAACGCTCTAAATTGGAAAGTATATTGGAAACACCATTTT